TTCATCGTCTTCAGTGTGGTTCACCACAAGTGCAACACAAATGAAAGTACATATAGAGTTTACATATTTGTTATTATATTAAATAACAATTAGTAATAATAATAACGCACACAGTCATATCCCCGCACTATGGAAACCCTGTATTACGGATGTCATGGACACACACATAAATAAATTACACCCAAACTCATGAGAGAAATAAATGTAGGCCATATAAATATTTCTCCCGGTCCGAGATTCGAACCCGGGACCTCTGCGTGGCAGTCCAGCACGGTAACCGCTCGGTCATATATGCAGTTAATATATTAGTTTGTTTAAGTAAATATTTAGTTACTTGCAATAACTAAGTACCTAACTACAACAAACAATTAATTAGGTAATGCTATTAAATATGAAACCAAAATAAATAATTAGGAAATAACACAAAAAGGTGAAATCATTAATGTAATAATTTGATAGCGACTGTTATCTTAATTTTTTTAACTAATAGTACAGTCACTTTAATAATTTTATTTATTTATATTTTATTTAATATTATGTGTTGTAATTGTGTGATACAATTTATTTCCGCATTACAGACATTATACACAAAATGAAACTATAGGGCTCAACTCACACTGGCGCAGAGTCGCGCCGCGTCATGTTTTTCGCCTATAGCATATTCATCTCTATCTTCCCATTACTAAGGTACATATTTGTATTATGCAAATATGGAGTCAAGCGTGGACGCGCTTCGAAGCGCGGTACTTGAGCGCAGTGAAGCGTCAGACGCCGACCACACTGTGATCCGGGCGCACTAATGCGCGTTACCAGGCGTAGTTGAAAAACAGGATGCGACACGACGCTTCGACTCTGCACCAGTGTGAGTTGAGCGTAACTCTTTTCTCTTGCAAAACATCGTAAGGGAAAAGAGCAAGATTAAACCTTACTACAATGTGAAAAATTCATCGGTTAATTTCAACATTAAGTAATCATATTACCCCACTCTAAATAATCACAAATCAAAGGGTCAACTGTACCAGTATTTTGACTAAACCACGTGGACACAACATTATCCATTTCATGTCGCCTTAGCCTTAATATTTAAAGCCTTTAGAGGCTATTTAAGCGCTGACGACTCGCGTTTCACGTACGCGCGTTACGTCGCCTTAAGGTGGGTACTGACCAACGTTACGAGGTGTAATGTTACACAGCGAGCATTCGTGCAGTCGAAACAAGCCGCTCGTTGCTCGCTTTGAGTGCTCCACCCGGCTGTCGGTTTTTTGGCGAATCCTTTGACTGTTACGAGGTTCAGTCAGTACGCTCTTGCAAGTCGTTACGAGCGCACGCGCGTCGCGAGTGATCACACGTCATTCATCTTGTATTTATTTCTTAAAACATAGAGTGGGACAAAGAAAAAACTCTGTATTTTATAGAAAAATACAGAGAAGAGGAAATGTTGTGGAATCCAGCTCATCCAGAGAATTATAACAAACTCAACAAAGAAGACGCTTGGAATAGATTGGCTTTGTTATTCGACAGCGAAAGAGAAACATGTAAAAAGAAAATGACAAGTTTACCGGCGTCATTGAGGAGGGAAAAACAAAAAAGTAAACAATCAACTAGTACAGGAAAAGGTACGTAATTATTTATTAAGTTTTTAAGTACATAGGCCCACAAGTGACAGATACAATTTGGGTTTTTATTTAATTTTTTTTTACCATTATTTTGCTAGCATAGATTACGATGTTCACGAAATATACTACTTTGGGTCAACGTTTGTTGAAATTTCAACTTTAATTTCAGGTGCAGATTAAGTGTACCATAGTACTTGGTTTGCATACAAAGCTATGATATTTCTATTTGATAGAAATACACCTCGTGCTACAACAGATACTGTAAGTCCATTTTAAGCATAATTTTCTTGCCAGCTTACAGACCCTTGCTGAATGCAGTATTCAGCAACTTCATCACGAATATTGTGAGCAGATCTTGTAGCCCTTCGCGGTCTTATTTGCAAAGGTAACATACTAGTCATGTCATTGTTACCTTCTCTCCAGTTTCCTAATCTTCTTCTGACTTGGCCGTTCGATTCTTCGTCAAAGCTACCTGCAGGGGTATATACCTGAGCATTATTACCTTTTCTTAAAAAATTGTGAAGGCATGTTATTGCTGTTATGACAGATGTCGCGGTTTTCGGTTCTAACAACATAGGTTTCCGCAAAACTCTAAACACTGCAGACACTATGCCGAACACATTTTCCACCACTCTACGAGCTCTAAAGTCGGTAGTTATAAATTCTTTCTTTAGAACCACGTTCATGATATCCTGCATATACTTTCATCATATTTTCGGAAAGAGCAAAAGCTTCGTCGGCAACAAAGTAAAATGGAATTTCTTCTGTTCTTGCTGGCAACGCAGTGGGTTGAGGGCTGTTTAGTGCATTATTTTTTAGTTTTTCGTTTATTTCACAGTTGTTGAAAACCCCTCCATCAGATATTCTTCCTCGACATCCAATGTTTACACACAAAAAGTTATATTTCGCGTCAACAACTGCCAGTAATACGATGCTGAAGAAACCCTTGTAATTATAAAATTCACTTCCACTGTTGATCGGTGACTGCAGTAAAATATGTTTACCGTCGATTGCGCCTAAGCAATGTGGAAAAGTCCACAAAGTATCACAATCATTTGCTACAACCAGCCATTGCTCCGGTGTTTCTGACATCTGAAATAATGATTTATATTTATTTTCAGCTACGTGAACGTGCTTCAGAACAACCACCTGATGATTGCCCTCCGCCTGCCAATAAAAGCGACAATGAATGCCCTCCGCATGCCAATAAAAGCGACAATGATTACCCTCCGCCTTCAAAGAAAGGAAGAAAGCAGTCGCCCCAAGCCCAGAGGAAATAATGGCATCTACTTTCAATATTTTAAAAAAGAAAACCGAGCAAACGGAGTCAACTTCGCACAAACTTGACGAATGTGAAGCCTTTGGTATTTTTTTGGCAAATAAATTAAGATCTTATTCAAAGAAAACAAAAATACATGTGCAACATTACACATCAAATATATTGTTTAGTGCTGATCGCGGAGAACTACGGAGACTATGTTGGCATGAATACGAACAATTATTATTCACAAGGATATTCTACACGACCAATTTCAAGAGTCTCACCGATGCCACAGCAAAGCCCTGAAACACCTGCATCAAATACGTCCCATCAAAATGACTATGGGTCACCAGCTATGAGTGAACAATTTCTATAAGAATTTGGTGATTTAATTAATTAAATAATTTGATATGTAATGACTACTTTTTCTGAATTAATTAAAACAGTACATACCTTTACATATTCTTTTAATGCTCCAATAAGGGCTTCGCTGACCTCTTTTACTATAAATCCTATTCGTTGCTTTGATATCTTGAAAAGATATTGCATACTAGTATAGGAATCTCCTGTTGCATAAAAACGAAGCGTTAGTACTAATCGTTCCGTGACACTGATTGCTTTTCTATAATTTGGATCCTTTTTATGTACACTTGGTCCAATTAAATTCACGAGTTCTTCAAAATCGATCGGAGACATGCGTACAAAGTTTTTATACTGTCCAGTAATCATTTGGTTTTTTAAAATTGCTATCAATGACAAACCACCACATACGCCTCTGTTTTTAAATAAGTTCGATGTCCAGTAACGTTTTTTCTTCTTCTTAATTTGGATGAAACAATAATTAAGTAGAATCAAAGATACCAACGTGTCCTCGCTGTCGGCCATATTGAGTGAACTGGCGGCGAAAGCGGAGCACAGAGTTTTGAAGAGCATGTTACGCCGATTTTAGATCGAGCATGTTACACAGCGTATCAAGCTCGATGCGTAACACGCTCGATGCGAATGTTACATTACACCTCGTAACGTTGGTCAGTACCCACCTTTAGAGGCTCGAAAAGCAAAATGCTGCGTTTGTATTGATTCAAATG